CATATATATATATTATTTTGGCTTAATGAGGAGGAATCACTACATCATATTTTTTCAATTGCGCTTTTTTTTTTGGAAGTTTGGAGGTTGCTATCACCCACTTATAAAACTTTTCTACCTGCTTGCAGTTATTTAGATTTGGATCACTACCTGCGGCATTGGAGACGAGGTAACTTTAAACTTCATTTGCAAATTATAATCCCTTATATTGTTTGTTGGTTTCTATGAATGGAAAGAAATCAAAGGAAGCACTATGAGCTTATGAGCAATGCTAAAGACATTATTTTCATTGTTAATCCTTTATTTCTAAAGTTGTTGCAGATACTACCTCTCGGAAAGATGTGGTTGTCTTGACGGTGTTCAGATGGTGGTGGGTATTGTTTTGCGGTTCTTTTGGTTGGTTACCTGGGACAAGCCCCCACTTAGTGCTATTAAAGTTTATATATATGACAACTTTAACTCTTTCAATATAGGTGATGTTGGGGTTTTTCGTAACCATTTTGGTAAAATTTTATTAGTCTTTTTTGCTCCCTTTGATTGTGTTAGCGCATCTTATTCTAAAATGTCTGCTGTCATTTACTCTTTGCTTGTTGCGAGAGAGATGAAAATTCAGAATTTGATTATGGAAATGGATTTTCTTTCAGTATTTCACTATTGCAATTGGCGTAATATATGCAATTGGTAGAACTTGATCCCTTGGGCAAAGATTAGAAGGCTTCTACATTTTTTTTACTTTTACATATGATCATATTTTGCGTATACCTAACAAACTTGCAGATTTTTTTGCTAGGTGATGCTTCTCTTGACGGTGTAAAAGTGGGCTTTGAATTTAATGCTCAATTCAATTTACTTATCATACAATAGAATTGAACGCATGTAATTTTATAGTTATTTTTTGGACTTTTTTTGTGCTTTCTACCTCTCGGTGGATGATCCTTTAGCTTTTATTTTTTGCATTTTGTATATTGAGTTTAGTTGGAACCTCTACCTAGTCTTTGTAAACTTTTTTTTTTTGTAATCAATAAAATTCCCTTTGGGATTCCTTCGTATGTCCCTTCAGGTCACATATTCGAATCCCCATCTGGACAATTTGCCGATATTGAGGCCGATCCTCGGATGATTAGGCATATGAGGGTGGCTAGAGGCTCGTATAATAGCCTCCGATATATATATAGAGGAGAGAGAGAGAGAGAGCATTAAAGTGTGAAGACCCTAGTGTCACAGACAAATAGTCCCACATCGGCTAGGTGTAAGGCCGAAAGACAGTATTTAAATCCTGGGCTGCCCACCACCCTTAAGGGCTCTTTTGGGATGTGACAAGTGATATCAGAGCAGATTACTGCCTGCCAGGTGTGTGGACTCTCCATGGTCCAGTCGGACCCTCGGTGGAGCCGATCTGTGACGAGGGTTTCACGTGATTGGGTGGAGGAGAACGTCACAGACAAATAATCCCACATCGGCTAGGTATGAGGCCGAAAAACAGTATTTAAGTCCTGGAAGATCATTTTTAAAGTAATGTCATAAATTATAGCAATACTACCACCAAATGGATTTTTTCTATTAAATTTCTAGTATGTTCCACATTTCTTAGCCAAGTAATGGCTGGTAATCACAGTAGGCTACTCGAGTTTAATCTCCTACTAGATGTGTAGATCTAAATGGATAGAACAAGTCTTTTCATCACTCTAACATTGACTCTATTAGTCAATAAGTTTATCATGATGATATGGACTTCTTTTGCATAATAAATTCAGCACAATCCATCTATGTTGTTGGCTTGTCCTAGCTGGGCATGTTGACTTAGACTCTATTAAAGTGGTTTTGATATTATTAAGTGCATGACTAGCCTACACACTATTTTATTTGCTTTAAAGTTGGTGTAATATATGACAAATCAAATAAAATTTCTTTTGACTGATTTCAAAATAAATTATAATATTTAGAAAAAATCATAATAATATATTTCAAGTCATTATTAGTTTTCAAAGAAAGTTTTGTGCAGCCCTACAGCTGGCATCAAAAGCCGAAAGCAGATCGAAGGACCGCATGAAGCTGCCGCCACGGCTTCCCAGAGAGCGGAAATCAACTGATCCCGCCTTCAAAATTCCTCGGCTCCATTAGATTCTCAGTCGCTGACAGCGACCGGAGAAATAAAGAAATCAAACCCCTGGAGCCACCCGGGCTTCTCCGCCCCCATTTCCGTCCTCTGTTTTTGTCCCGGAGCGGATCCACTCACCACCTAATCTCCACTTCCCCAACCCTAATCCTAACACGCACGCATACTCTCTCTCTCTCATCGACAACTGCATCGAACCGCAGTCCCACACCTCAAAGTCTGTTCCAACCAGGATTCCTGTCTCCATCGATCGCAATTTCTCCCACCAATCTCTATAAATGACCTGAAGGATCCACTCACCGCTTTTCCCATATGAATACTCCTACCTCTGCTTCGGGGGAAGTGGACCAGGGAGCGGGGGATGCTGGAGGAGCACTGGAACTGAAAGCTCTCGATAGAGCAGTGGCGGCGGCGGCGCTGGGAGAGGTGGAAGGCGGTGAGGGAAGTATAGATATGGAGGCGGAGAAGAGGGTAGCGGAGGAGGGTGATCGGCCGATGGATGTTGGGGATTGGCCCCAGTCGTCTCCGGCTACTGTGTTTCGTATTCGGCTCAAGCAGCCGCCCGCTAATCTTCGACATAAGATGCGAGTTCCCGAGCTCTGCCGCAACTTCAGGCTGGTTTCTTCTTCGCTTCCTGTTTTGATCGAGTATAGAATTGTCAAATATTGGAGTTGTGTGATTGTTAGGGTTTATTGGTTTTGTGTGATTGTTTTGGTCCTAAAAGAATCGGAGAAACTGAAGGTTTTTTGGTTGTGATTTCTGTGATGTGAATAGCATAACTAAAGCTGGAGTTGGGTGTGCGAGTTGAACTTGAGAATTATGTCTTTGGTTATTGAGAACGCGGTGGATTTGTGCTGATGGTTGGTTTCTTAGAAGTCCTTTCTGATTGAATATTTATGTTTTTATTGTGGCAGTGCGGTTGCTTGGTGTGACAAGCTGAACGCTGTTGCTTGTGCGTCGGAGACATGTGCAAGAATCCCAAGGTGTTTACCTTTGAAAGAATGATTTATTTTGCATTTTAATACCTAAAATGCTGTGTTAGCTTGTAGAGCTTTAGAGTGCCTTTGTTAACATGCATGTAATTTTTCTTTTTTCTTTATTTTAATGTTAGAAAGATTGAATTATGTTTATGCAATGGGAAGGAGAAGGATCAAGTTCTCTTTTCCAATTAGTAAAGGGTATGTTTCCTATTGCAGCTATCTTTGATGAAGTAGATCGAAATGTTGTTTCTATGATGTTGATTTGTTATTGGAATCATAGAATAATATGCTTGTCGGTCGGAGACATGTGAGAGGATCCCAAGGTTTTTATGTGAAAGAATTATTTACTCTGCAGTTTTGTGCCCATAATACTGACTTAGCTTGTGAAGCTCTAGAATGCCATAATTAACATATATGCACTTTTCCTTTCTTCCTTTTACTGACGAATTGTCCAAGTTGGTGACCATCTCTATATTAATGATTTGTAATTTGCCTTCAGCGTGTTTCCTTAATCTTGGGCAGGGCAGATTGAGCATCTTGTGAATGAATTCTGTGACTGCAATCAGTATCCAATTTATTGATTTCAAGTTTAGCTTAAGCTTGGGCAAGCATTATTCATTTACTGTTTCTTTTTTCAGACTTAATGTCTTTCTTTTTTTAGTGTCACTTTAAGATTACTCTTATTTTTAGGGCTCAAATTGATTCGTTAGAGGAAAGCCTTCTAAGTTGATGAGTTGATATTCAGCCTGCTGATATGTTTTTCCGTCATATCATTATGAGAGTTTTTTTGATCTTTAGCTGTTCTTGAACTTTGTTGCTTGATTTTGCAAGACACGTTCTTTTGAAATTATCTTGGTTTCTACCATATTGTATGCAGAGAATGAGTTCAATGCATGCTTTTACAATAAAATGGTGGTTACATATGTTTTCTCTGCATATCTTGGAGATCTACATGCATGGTTTATGAATTTATCTCTATATTGATAGAAATGCGCACACATTGTAAAATTTAATTTATAGTTCTCAAGAAGCAGTCCTAGCCCATAGAACTGCTGAATTTAAATTCAATCAGACGGTTGCTAACCATTGATATCATTTTTAAGTTTAAGAATTGCTTTGTCAGATGTTATTCTTATTAAATTTAATCAAAATTTTATTTGGAAACAAACCTTGTAGTTTACAAAAATAAGAAATTAATAAACATGTATAAATTGATTGGAGAGAACTTCTTTTAGAATTCGATCACTTAGGTCCCTCCACATGCTATAGTTCCTTAATATGTTTCCTGTCATCTTATGAAATGTTTGTCACCCAAAAATTCAAAAAAAAGTGTCCCCTTCTTGAAGGGCCTACGGCTGTTTTTTATAAGAGCATAAGTATTCAAGTAATAAATACATACCTCTTTCTACTTCCAACCAAATTTCAACCCCAACCTCAACCCCAGTACCAATCCCAACCATTTTTGTGTATTAGTATAGGAATATTCTATAATTTTCTCTTTATAAATCCCCAAACTATTTTTTTGCTTGGATTGAGCTAGAGCTCTTTGCTAGCCGCTTCTCGTGCTCTCTCTCTACCTTTCTGGTTTCTGAATAAAACCATTTTGTAAATATTTTCTTGAAAATAGGTGAATTGAAGAGTCACGTGATCGTAATGAACAACAAATTCTGCATGGTTGATGGTAATAAGTGAAGACATTCTCTTGAGTTGAGAGATGATAATAAATAAATGGCTCATAAATTGCATAAAGTTCTCATATTTGAAGGTTGAGGATGGTTCGGCGTATCATGCATGGAACCTTACTTTTGGAATTGTAGAGTGGATGCTTCTATGACTCAAACCTATGACCATAACGAAATCCACAAAATGTGCTAACAAATTACCTTAGTGGACTTGAAAAGATGTTCGCTTATGCACTTTTTTTATTTTTTTATTTTTTTATTTTTTGATTCATAGAACTAAAGGCTTAAATTATCTTTTCCTTGCAAGGTTTGCTTTAACTTTATGTGGACAATTACATATTGAAATAGTTATTCTAAGATAATTGTTTGGGAAAATATGAGATATATAGTAACAATAATAACAAAAATAACAACAAGAATAACAACAACAACAACAGCAAGAATAACAACAACAACAACAAGAATAACAACAACAACAAGAATAATAATAATAATAATAATAATAATAATAATAATAATAATAATAATAATAATAATAATAATAATAATAATAATAATAATAATAGTAATTAATTATCATGAAATTATTCTGAGTTGTGTTTTTAAATCATCTTATTTGTTATTTAGCTAATTGAGAAATGTTTTTATAAATATTTTAATATCATTATAGTTATTCATAATGACCACATGAAATTTATTACTTCATTATGTGAAAGGAATTTATTATTTTTATTACTTTTTGATTACTTTTTTACATGAAATTTTTATAGTTGTATCCATTTGACTAAGAACATATTGTTTATTCACTGCTCTACTATTTATTTAAATGATGAATAGGTCTTTGTTTTTTGTGAACTATATTAGTTACTCACAAAGGCATTGCCCGTAATTTCTCCGTAGTTATGGATTTGAAGCTAAACAGATGAAAGTAAGAGAATATAGTTTACTCAATGATTTACCAATTTATTTACATGTTGAGAGGTCTTCATATCTTTGTGAAGTAGATTAATTACTCACAAAATTGTGTCCATCATTATAGGCATTTACTTATTGTTACTGACATTTTGTTTTTGGGAAAATTACATACATAACACCTAATTCTTATGGATTTACCTATCTCACACCCAAAGTTTCATTTGTACACACATAACACACTTTAACTATGAATGAAAAGATGCAGTTGATATTAAAATGTAATGATGAGTGCTACTTTACATATGATGTTTGTAATTATGAAAGTTCGGTGTGAGATAGGTAAATATAAAAGTTTTTGGTGCTATGTATGTAAAGCCTCCTTTGTTTTTTTTGGTAATCCACAGCTCTAATGCAACACTACCATTTTGGGTACCAATCCACATTTTAAATCCTGAGAGACCAACAGAATGTGCAGTATTCAATGTTAAAGCTGGTATGATATACTTTATATCAATCAAGCATCTGATATTTCCTTTATTTCTTATTGAATTAATTTGATCAAGTTTTCTCATTTTTTGCATCCATTCTTTTTTATCGTTGAACTTTTTTAACTTATAATAACCAGTTTTCTTTATATATAATTTTTTAGTTTCTCGTTCTTATTTTTTGTTGCTTTCGTCAAAATAGTCTTATCACTTGTTAGTTATTTCTATTATTTCTTTTTATCAGATGTTTTGTATACTAATATTAGTTTTATTCATTTATTTTTTTCTTTTAATTGCATAATTTTTTGTGCAAGTATAATATTTCTGTTATAGTTCATTTTGTTGATAAATCAAACCATTATATAATTATGATGGGATTGGTTTGTTAAGATACTCATGGATTTTTGGGTAGTGAAATTTGTAGCTAAGAGTGATGCTTTGGGAATGCTTTGTGGCTACAGTATGCCAAGATCATTGCCATCCTCTTTCACACATTGTTAGGATTGCGCTACCTCTCTTTTAGCAAAATTTGGAACATTTTTGAGAGAAATCAAGGGTTTTCAACAAATTTTTTTCTATCCAGTTTAGGTGATCTAAACGAGAACCTCATTGGTGCTTGCTAGTGATTTTATTTTTGGTGGTGAGGCATCATTCAGAAGGATATTTGGGAGGATGTACCTACTTATATTGTGATGTAGCATGACCTAAAAGAATGACTAAGAGAACGAAATTTGATGCAGGAATATGCTGGTGATAGACTTGAATATTCACTGTCGAATTCAACTTCTTACATAGTTGATGTTGAATTTCAAAGTTGCCAAGTTTCTACATTATATTTTTGTACTATATATAAAGTCAAAATATGTTTTCTAACTTGTTGTGATAGTTTTTATGGGGAAATAAGTGAAACCTTTGCAATATATAAAGCGAAAAAATAGAAATCATAAAAAGAAGATCAATACACAAGAATTTTATTTTGTTTTACTCACATTGATTGATTGTGAAGAATTTCAATTATTAATTCTTGGAGATACATAAGATTATGCCCCCTTCTCCTTCTAAAGGGGAAACCTAATATTATGTACATGTCGCCATTTTCTTTGTAGGGCAAAAATTAGGCTCTGCAACTTAACAATTACCTTTGCTTGTTATCTTGCCAATTAAAGGAGGCAGAAGAGGAATTTGTGGATTAAAAGAAAATTTAACATAGAAAGGTAACGCTTATTATTGGAGGATTTGGAGTTGGACTGCCTCAACTAATAGAGGTTAATAATTATCTCAAGGTGAGATATGTTGAAAGAGTTAATGATGGCTAATAGGTGAAAACCTTATTTGTAATTAGCCATAGAAAGGTAACACTTGTTATTACATATTTTTTTAACTTAGAATTAATTTCACATATTTAATTCAGACTTGCAACCTTGGTTGGGCGGAATTAGTGGAAAGTTTGGATGAGCATTTTAAGAGTTAGGAGGTTGTTGGCTTGTTTCCTGAATGGCAAGGCAACATCAACCATTCTAGCTGCAGCAGAAGAGGGTGGTTGCGACAGTCAAATGAACAATACACGCTGTTAGGGGTGAATCTAGAATCTCTTCTGACCATTTATGTTGATTTTTCTTCTACTGGAGCTCACTGACATGTTGACTCCTAATGAATGAAAGATTAGATGAAGTGTAGCTTGTGATGTCAGGTTTGTAGGAATGGTTTGGAATTGGGTCCAGAGATTACCTTCATTCATTCTATGCTTTCACAAACTTCTAAGGTTCCATTTGGGGCCGCTTTTTTTGAGGCTTCGCGGCTCTGAATCGCGAAAATTTGTCGTTTGGCTCCCAGTGTCGCGGCCTAACGAAGCTAAAGCGGGAGAAAGCAGGCCGCGGGATCCACCACACGGCCCCAGCTTTCCGCTCGCTAGTATTCTAAACTACCCTCAACGTTTCTTGTCCAGCGCCGTCTGGCCATCTCCTTCATCGACGTCAACGCCCTAGCTTCTTCCGGGAGGCCCCTATGCCTTCCTCTTCCTTGACCAAGCAAGAATACAGGAAGGCCGAAGCAGGTAAGCGTAAACCCCTCTTCCTCGCTTGTTTTGAATCTCTCTTCTTCCCGGCTTGGAATCCAGGTTAAAATCGTTAGTTGGCCGAGCTCCTTGATTGTGAGTGGCTCCTCCTCATAAAAGTTTGCCTGATCCGTGAGCTTCTGATAGTGAAGATGATATTAAGGAGGAGTTGTTTCTCTTTGATTAGAATTGCGCCTAAAGTGATTGGCACAAAAGAGATGATTTCTTCTTCTAGTTTTTTTTTCTTATTATTTTGGTTTGCAAAAAAGAAATCCGAAACATTTTTTCTGATGGAAACACAGTTCGTCCAACATTATCCTTGTGGATTTCGAAAGTAAAAATCCAAGCATTTGTTTCATTCAAAACGATGCACTCCAGCAAAAACTGGGTGAGGATGTCTGATTAAAAATTCATTACCATTTTTTGAAAGGGTTGGGGTTTTCATATTGTAGGAATATCAATTTATGCACACCAGTAAAATTATGAAATACATAGGAAAAAAATATACATAGAAAAAGGGCGCACTCTTGTGTACATACTTCATGTATTTGTATACTGTTGACGGGACCATCTCATACTTGTCTAAACAAGAGTATTCTATTTGGGCTTGAAATGAAATGTCCATATAATTGTTTGAATCATTAATATGGAACTTGTATTTTCATTATATCAGTTTGCTTTCTCATATAATTGTCCATATCAGCAGTTTATTCATTTATGCAATTATGGCAAAGGTTGTATTTGATATTTTTGGCAAAAAAAATTATAATTCTTACATAGCTTTGCAAAATTTGTTTTTAACTTTGACAGAAATGGTTCTTATGCTGTCTTTGTTGTTGAATGTTGTAATTAAAGGTGATGCTGCAGAGATTTTGATTCAATGCAAAACCATACTTTGACCAAAATTTGTTTTTAACTTTGACCAATTTATTGTTTTGCTGCAATGCAAAACCATACTTTATGGTTGCTAAATTAGCAAGGCAGTTTTTTTTTAGCCTATGAATGCGGGCTAATTCTGTTGCTGTGCCAAAAAGAAATGCTTTAGCAGGATTTGTGGTGAGTGCGGTGCCCATTGGTAGCAGAGTTTTATATATATATATATTTTATTAGTTGATTTGGGTAATAGTTGGGTAAATAGTTGGTAAAAAGTATCACAGTTTTTTGCTCCAATTTCCTCTCTATTAAAATGTGGCTAGAAATTCGAAGTGAAGGTTGTTTTTTGGTTTCTCTTCTCCCTATTTGATCTGCATCACATCATTTATTGGTGTTGTAGGCAATGCTCTTATTGTTCAGTACGTTTTTTAAATCTCACCAAACTGCCTTTTACTGCTTTTTAGGAGGTGCTTTTGCGAACTCATCCTAGACAATGCACGTGGGATCTGTGTGGGTCTTGACCATCTTGATTTGAATACAAACAATTCATCCAATCTGTATTTCAGCCTTTGATGCTATTGGCTTGGATTGGTACTTGAAATTAATTATGATTGCATGAGCTGCTGAATTATATGAGGAATTAAAATTAGTTCTAAACTCTTGCTTGGTATTAGATTGATCCAAGCTTGTTTGTTCAAGCACCTGTGAGAGGAATGAGCCATGTATAGAAACCTCCAGTCCACGCTTTTACATGCATTCCACACAATTCTTATGTAATGCATTGCACACAATTCTTACGTAATGTATAGGAATGAGCCATGTATATTTGGGAATGAGCCATGTATAGGAATGAGCCATGTATATTTGGGGGCATTTACATGCATACCACACAATTTTTACGTAATGCATACCACATGGTGAAGGGTTTCAAGTTGCATCAAAATTCCGTCTCCATGAAGGTTAGGTGGTGGAATTGTGTGATGGCATTTGTTTTACTATTTCTCTCGTACGAAATCTGTTTGCAGCTAATGACATTTGCTTTACCATTAAAATGAGTATTAAACATTGTTCATATGATGTTTAGGAATAAGATCTTATATAGCTGGAATTGTAGCTATGATTCTGCTTCTAGTTAATGAGGTTAAACTTTTCAGTTCTTACAAAAGAATTGTAGCTATGATTCTACTTCTAGTTAATGAGGTTAACCTTGGAGATAGATATGTGCTTGATTCTGTATGAGTCAACGTCTGTTCTGTTTTTTAAATACTACATTTGTTTCTTTTTTCCCTTCCAGTGCAATAAAGTTTTAAAACTTCATTTTGGGGTGATTCCTAAAATACTTATCGATAAAACCAGTACAAATTTTACCTTCGTGCTTGGGTAGAAGTTGTTTTCTTATAAAGCCAAATAAAAATTTCTTCAATGCGATACATGTTTTATCAAGAAGGGCTTCATACAATTTATTGTTTCCATTTTATTCCTAGAACGCCTTCTATCATGTTCAATGTTATATGCTTAAATTGTTGAGAATAATTCATTCAAGTCTTGTTTTAAGGCTGACAAGTATACACTTGGAAAAATTACTCCTGTACCTGTTCGTAAAGTTCATTCCTCTGATTTTGGACCCTGATTTATTTTGCCTTCTATAATAAATTAAACTTTTCTCATGGATTGATCTCACTTTCAGGGCTCACTATTTGTTCATTGGTGTATCTGAACTTTCTGCTCTGTTTAGAAATGAATTTCTGCTTCTGAAGTTTCAAAAATGTGGTTGTTATAGTTTTCTTTTAAACAGTTTTAGCAAACAGGGACAACATGGTCATTTTTTCAGAAACAGCTGACCCACAGCTGTTTTCACACAGCTGCACCAAACAGACAACCATCTTCCCCGCAGCAGCGCGCAGCTGCAGCTGCGCCAAACAGAGCCTAAGTGATCAACTTGTTGATATTCTGTATTTGTTGAACACCAATTACTTTTTATAATGGCCAAAAATATAATTGTTCATAAACTAAAGTAGAAAATTTTAAGTATTTTACTGATATTGTAGGCTAAGAGTAATTTAGAGATTTACCCAATATTGT